TTCTTTGGTTGTGCGTGCCTCTTGTCCTTTTTTTTACAAAAATTAACACACGATACTGGTGGGAGCTAATAAGAGTGAGAGCTCACGCCCCTCCTCTGCAAGGGTGTTTATCCACCTGAGGATCCACCCCATACCCAAAGACACCTCCATCAGGCCCACCTTCTAACACTGGGGATCAGATTTCAACGTGAGCTGGGGACAAACATTGAAGCCACTGCACTTGGTGAGGAGTCCCAACCTCCACACTCCTCCTCTGCCGTCCACTCCTGCATCTGGAGGTGCTGGTTCCTCTGCGTGCTGGTGGGAGACTCTTGTGGTCCTTCGACCCTCGCTTTCAGAGCTTCCCTGATCTCTCTTGAGCACACCACACCTTTCTCAGCCTCCCCTGCAGTTGGTGTCAGCTGTGATTCTACATAAAGCCCCTCATCCATAACTCATGATCGTTCTGCTTCTCTGTTGAACCTGAACGATCAGAGTTTGTTATAGAAATTCGGGGATCCATTGTGATTATGCGGTGAACGGTGGGTGTGGACAGAAGTGCTGGCAGGAGTCTCCACCTCGTTCTTTCTCTCCTGTGGTCCCTGCCCTCCTGTTTTCCCAAATGCCGACCCTGCTGATCAGCACGGACCAGGCCCTTCGTGAGATGCTTGGTGTCTCAGTCCCTTTAGTGTGGCTGTAAAGGAATCCTGAAGCTGGGTAGTTAAAAAGAAAAAAAAAACTTTATTTATACTTAGCTCATGGCTCTGCTGGCTGGAAGGTTCAAGGCAGGGCGTCTGGATGGAGCCTCAGGCTGCCCCCCTCAAGGTGGAAGGAAAGGGGAGCCAGTGTGTGCAGACATCATGGGGGGGAGTGGGGGTCCTGGGGGCGGTGCCCAGCTCTTGTTAACAACCAGCTCTGGGTGGGAACTAATAAGAGTGAGAGCTCACGGCCCCCTCCTCTGCAAGTGAGGATCCACCTCCATAACCCAAAGACACCTCCCATCAGGCCCCACCTCTAACACTGGGGATCAGATTTCAATGTGAGCTGGGGGACAAACATTGAAGCCATTGCACTTGGTGAGGAGTCCCACATCCTCCACAACTCCTCCTCTGCCGTCCCACTCCTGCATCTGGAGGTGCTGGTTCCTCTGCGTGGCTGGTGGGAGACTCTTGTGGTCCTTCCACCCTCGCTTTCAGAGCTTCCCTGTGATCTCTCTTGAGCACACCACACCCTTTCTCAGCCTCTCCTGCAGTGGTGTCAGCTGTGATTCCTACAATAAGTCCCTCATCCATAACTCATAATCGTTCTGCTTCTCTGGTTGAACCCTGACGGACTCACGTCTTTGGCTTGGAAATCGGGGGGGAAAACTGATTTCTTAAATAGCTAGTCTTCCCTTCTCCTTCCTGCCCTTCAAATATGCCACAGCAACTGCAGAAATGCTTTTGGTGTTCATAAATGCTTTTCATCTGCCACGACAGTTTCCAGGATCCGTTGAAGTTAACAAATGTTGCACAGGTATTTTTATTACCAATGCATCGATCCATCCTGTAATCTGTTTAAAGCACACTAGAGATTCCTTCTGGATGTTCTTTCTCCTGAAGAAACTTGTTTTCTTCTAAAGAGTTGTCATTTCTTAAAGTGGCTTCACTTGCAAACGATTTGTTTCATGCTCTATGCTTGCCATCTTAGTGTTAGAAATTCTTTAATTAGCTACAGGTGCTTAAATAAGGTCACAAGGGTGTTTTTTTTTTTTGCCATCAATATTAGGAGATTCTATCCTTAAGCTTTCTTGTAGAATTATATCTTTTAATCTAGTTGACACAGTGTAAGATTGGCTTGCTGGTATTAAACTACATGAAAAGAGCAAGATTGTATCTTTTATGAGAAGTGAGAGTAAGATATTACAACCGAATTGGGCCTTTTCTGGAGGTAATTTTTATCTAGCTTTAAAAATTTTATTACCAACAAAGTGTGTATTAATGGTTATGAAAGCAATAAGTAAGATTAGTGACAAGATCAGAAGAGCAGGCTAATTTATCGTTATAGACTTTAATGAGGCCTATAATGTAGTAATAAATATACAGTATTTTTAAGGAGCATGGCAGTGTGAAAAAACAATGACTTAATAAACTTTAAGAATTGTTATGGAGACTAAAATTCAAATTATTCCCTTCAAAACCTGAGCATATCTTATGTGGAGATATTATCTTTTTTATAATCAATAAACTGTTCAAAGTGGTATTATCATACCCCCACATATCTGAATAAAGGGATTATTTTGGATACTGTGGAACTAAATCGGATATCATATTCAATAGGAAATTTTAGATTTACAACTTACATAAAAGCCTTATCAGTAAAGGATTTCTTAATGTGAAATAATATCTCCCTAGATAACTTCTTATTTGTATCACAAAATCCCCTGACCTAGAGATTGTCCTATTTCCATCTTTTATTTGTATTTGAAAATCAGCCATTTATTTATTTATTTTTAATTTATTTTTTTTTAATTTCAGCGTATTCTGGGGGTACAAATATTTAGGTTACATGTGCTACCTGTGGCCCACTTGAGTCAGAGTTTCAAGCACGTCCTTCCTCCAAACGGTGCACACCACACCAATTAGGTGTGTATACACCCATCCCCTTCTCCCCCTCCCATCTGCCCGGCACCCGATGAGTGTTATTAGTATATGTGCTTTTAAGGGTTTATCAGTTAAAACCAATTTGATGGTGAGTACATATGGTGCTTGCTTTCCCATTCTTGTGACACTTCACTTAGTAGAGGATGGGTTCCAGCCCTGTCAGGATAATACAACAGGCTATACCAGGCATCCTCAAATGACGGCCCTCGGGCCACACGCGAGTGTTTTTGCCAATTTGTTTTTTTACTGCAAAATAAGATATGTGCAGTGTGCATAGGAATTTGTCCATTGGTTTTTTTTTTAAACTGTAGTCTGGCCCTCCAATGGTCTGGGGGACAGTGAACTAGCCCCCTGTTTAAAAAGTTTGAGGAGCCCTGGCCTATATCGCCTGGTATATTCACATGTTTTTCTGTGGCTGGAGTAGAATCCATATATACATATCACATTTTATTAATCCATCATGTATTTCTTTTTTTTATTTCCGGCTTTATGGGGGTAAGATTTAAGGTTCATCATACCTTCCCCCTCTCCACCCAAGTCTGAGTCTCCAGCTGACCATCCCCCAGCATTGGTGCACTCTCACCCATTATATATGTTATACCGCCCCCTGCCCCCTCCCCCCTGCCAATACATATTACTGTAGTACCTATGCTGTTCCACTTAGGTGACTGTCAGTTAATACCACTTTGCTGGTGAGTCCATGTGGTTGCTGTTTTATTCCATTCTTGGGTACTTCACTTAGTAGTATGGGTTCCAACTCCAGCCAGGAACTTATAAGATGTGCTATATACCGTTGTTTACTTAGAGCTGAAATAGTGCTCCGGATGTATACATAACCCACATTTATTAATCCTTCTTGGATTGATGGGCACTTGGTCTGTTTCCAAGCCTTGCAATTATGATTTGTGCCTGTATAACCATTGAGTGCAGGTGTCTCTTTTTGTAGAGTGCCATTGGGATCTTTTGGGTAGATGCCGTGGAATGGCCTTATCAAAAAGTCTCCACAACGTAGCATGCTGGCGTGGATGCGGGGAGGGGGAACACCCTACACTGCTGGTGGGACTGCCAAACTAGTTAACCTCTGTGGAAAGCAATATCACTAATGTTATTGATGAGCATTGATGTTTCCCACATCGTGCCAATTGTGATTGTGCTTGCTATAAACATTCGAGTGCAGTGTCTTTTTTAATAGGATGTCTTTTGTCTCTTTTGGGTAGATGCCATTATGTGGATTCCTGGATCAATGGTAGTTCTACTCTGTATCTCTTCGAGGTTATCTCCATATCTTTCCACAGAGGTTGCTCTAGTTTGGTCCCACCAGCAGTGTGATTGTTCCTGTCTCTCCACGTCCATGCCCACATTTATTGTTTTGGGACTTTTTGATAAGCGCATTCTCACTGGGGATAGTAGAACGTTCGCATAGTGGTTGTTTTAATTTGTTATTTCCCTGATGATTAGGATGCTGAGCTTTTTTCATATGTCTGTTGGCCCATTAGTCTTTCTTCTTTTGAAAGTTTCGTTCATGTTCTTTGCCCTTTTTGGATAGGGATTGTTTGATTTTTTCTGCTGATTTTCTGAGTTCTATTCAGGTTCCTCAAACTCTGCCACGGGCTCCATGCGGCCCGCTGAGGACATCTTATCGCCCACAGTTTTTGCGCAGCTGCCTGTCCTCTTAGCAGTCTGACTCATCTGACCACAGGTGCCGCACTCTCAACGGTCTGGGGGCGTTGGACTGGCCCCTGTTTTAAAAGTTTGAATAGATTCTATTATCAGTCCTTATCATGTGTGCATGTCATTTTTCTCCCATTCTGTATGGTTGCCTGTTGCTTCGTGATAGTTGCCGTGGCTGGAAGAGCTTTTTAGCTTGATCCGGTCCATTATTTTATTATTGTTGTTGCTGTGATTGCCTTTGGGTCTTTTCATAAATTCTTTGCCTGGTGGCCATGTCTGTAGGATGTTTCCAA